TTTATCGAAACAGTTCTTTCTTCTTGGCAAAGGTATTTAAAGAGACTTAAGATACCATGCAGTTTTAAGACCTTTCAAAAAAAAAAAATGAGGCATTATGATTGCAGAATACAAATGCAATTAAAATTAAATATACTAGAATACATCAACAACAACAACAAAAAACTGGAAACTAGCTCTAATCTTTAAAAGATGAAATCATATTGAGATACGATAGCTGTATTATTTCGAAGGGAGAACAGAAGGGCTTTCTATGGAACTAAAAAGCTCTTCTCCAGCGGAACATTCCAGGACGCACCCTCTCCCTTACCTACCAGCAACCATGAGGATGAAAGGGTTATTTCCAAAGACTTCTGCAAATTAACCCCTCCTTTCCAGTGCTGAAAAACTCGAAGACATACAAAGCACATACTTTTAATTAACAAACATTTGGAGGTGAAGATGGGTTTTGGTAGTGAATGACAATTGTTAACCCTCAAAACAAACAGGCAGTCCTACTTAGCCAAATGTAGGTTCCTAACCCAGTTAATAGTGAGCCTTAGGAAATTCCAGACACATTTCTCCTTATATACAGGTGGCAGTAACACTGCTGTGCCCAGCGCCTATAAAAAATCTCTACTAGCCAGATATGTACTGTTCAGACTGAGAGTTTTGCCTGAAGAAGGCAATTCCTTCACCTCACCCCATTGTTGGATTTCACATGGTGGACATGTCACAAAATGGAGTTCTTGCCACCATGTGATGATTCTGCTTTTGAGGAAAAAATTTGTACCTCCACATCCCCCAACTGATAATGGCTTCCCCAAGCCACTGTTTGACAATTTTACAGCTTTATTTGTCCTTAATCTGTGGAAAACAAATCTAGCCCATGCTTGAGGATAACTATGGGTAAGAGACAGCAGCTTCAGGTGTACACAGTTAAAAACAGATAAGCCAGGCATTTTCATCTATAAAGAATTCTGCGCACCCCACCCCTCCCCCTTCTCTTTTTAGATTTTTCTAGACAAAGGGCGTTTATTTTAATGTGGCAAACTGAGAAAATTCCTAGAAAGCATGTAGGGTTGACACACATTCAGCCGATGCCATCATTTCAGGGTCAGGGCCTGCCAAATCTGGCCAAGGAGAATTTCCAATTCCTCAATAAGATGGCAGTTAGAAGGTTCCTCTCTGAGAAGTTACTCCTTTCAGAGCTGAGGCAGATGGTGCAGTTTCCATCCCCTAGGTCCCGCCCAATCTCAGGCTTTGGGAATAAAAATGACAAAAGTCAAGATTTAGGGTTCAGTTCCAGCTGATTTTATTTCCTTCTCAAAAAAAGTTATTTACAGAAGGTATATATCAACAATCTGACAGGCAGTGAACTTGACATGATTAGCTGGCATGATATTTTCTTTTTTTTTTCTCCCCCAAACATTGTTTTTGTGGCCTTGAATTTTAAGACAAATATTCTACACGGCATATTGCACAGGATGGATGGCAAAAAAAAGTTTAAAAACAAAAACCCTTAACGGAACTGCCTTAAAAAGGCAGACGTCCTAGTGCCTGTCATGTTATATTAAACATACATACACACAATCTTTTTGCTTATTATAATACAGACTTAAATGTACAAAGATGTTTTCCACTTTTTTCAATCTTTAAACACAACAGCTATAAACCTGAACACATATGCTATCATCATGCCATAAGACTAAAACAATTATATTTAGCGACAAGTAGAAAGGATTAAATAGTCAAATACAAGAATGAAAAACGCAGTACATAGTGTCGCGAACTCAAATCGGCATTTAGATAGATCCAGTGGTTTAAACGGCACGTTTTTGCTTATAAAAAAAGTGCAAAAAAGATGTGGTTTACAAGTTAAAGCTACAGGATCCCTTTTTGCTGTAAATGCACCAGTATTAAAGCCTCTAGACAGAACAGTATTTATTGTTTAAAAAAGTTTTTTTTTTCTTTTTCTTAAAAGCATACAGTGTTTGGCTTAATTGCCTCCCCTCTTTGTAAGACTGGGGTCGAAGGGTGGACACTGGTGGCCGGTTAAGGGATACTGTCACTTTAAGAAGCCTGCAGATTGAAGTGTAAACATGGAGAAATTAGGGGCTGATTTTTTAAACTGTGTGAGATATTAACCAGCCGCCCTATTATAAAATCAGGAAATCCAAACAGCGATTTACACCGATTAACACCCCCTTTATATATTTTTTACAAAAATACACTGAGAAAATAATCAAACGTTCTCATCTCTCTTGTCTTTTTTTGTTTTTTAAAAGTGTCAAAAGTCTACATTTAAATATAAAAAATTAAAAGTTAAAACTCTAGCCCTTCAGTGAAGGAGACGTAAAATGGCGTGGGTAACAATAACTACCAAAAAAGAAAAGAGAAAAAAAAAAAAAGAAAAGAAAAAAAAAAGGAAGGAAGGAAGAAGTAACAGAAGTCAAAAGAAAGAAAAGAAAGTAAAGAAAATAAGGGACAAAGTAAGAAAACAATGTTTGGCCAGTATAAATACGTCCACATATAAAATGGCATCTGATTACATTTACAAGGAAAAAAAAATACGAGGATGGAGCATCGGTGAGGGAAAAAAACACGTCTTCTCATTTACACCTAGAAGGAATAAACACATACACACTGAGAAAAAATTTGGTCCTGAATTGTTTTTTAAAGTCCAGCACAGATTTGAGTTGCGTTTGAATCCTTTAAAGAGTTAAGAATGAAAAAAAGCTGGTGATAATTTTGTTTGTAGGAATCAAACATAGCGCCATCTATCTGCTTTTTATATTATCCTACACTATTTTAAAAACTGCTCAACAGTCTTATACAGAAATCTTTAAAAGATAGACAGGATAACATGCTATATTAACCCCACCAGTGAAATAATCCAACACCATCACGATTCCGATTAAGAGAAGAAAAAAACCTTTTTCTTTTTTTTTCCCCCGAAAACACTCGCCCTCCACTGCCCGGTACCACCTCAGTCTCCTCTTCTCCTCGCCCGCGGGCCTGCGAAGTGTCACCTCGCGGCTTTCACAGCTGCACCAGGCGGGGGGCCAGGAGGCGCCGCCACCTCCTCCCGAACGTGCAAATCCATGTCAGTTTTATTCTGAACCCCCTTCCAGTTCGTGTCCTTCTGTCCCCCGCCCTCGCTGGTGTGGCATCCAACTAGGTTCTCAGGTCATTTCCTAGCGCCGGTCACTCAACTTCTCCTCCTCCGGCTGCAGAAGCAAGAAGGAAAAAAAAAAAAAAAAAAAAAAAAAAAAAGCCAATAAAAAAAAAAAAGAAGTGTTGTTTTTGCTAGGGGGGGGATAAAAACGGGAATTCACCAGCTTGGAGTCTCTCAATCCAGGCGCTCCTGCCTGTGCCACCTCGAAACATCTGCCGTCGGTCAATTACG